GATTTCTGTGAGATCAAGGCTAGCCTAGTCTATATAGCAAGTTCCAGGTCAGCTGGGGCTACAGGGAGACCCTGCCTAAAAAAAGAACCAAAACCAAACAAAAACCAGAAACAGACTATAGAGATATGGCTCAGGGGTTAAAAGCACTTATCACTCTTCCAGAGGACCCAGGTTTGGTACCCACCCACCCACATGGCAGCTAACAACCTTCTGTAAGTCCAGTTCCAGGGGATCTGATGCCCCCTTCTGGAACCATGGGCACTGCAGGCATGTGGTACACTTATATATGTAGGCAAAACACTCATATACGTTAAAAAAAAATCTTAAATAATCAAAAAATGATCCTTTCTCACCAGAGACTGGACAATACTTCCTCTTCCTACTAGACACTGGACACTTGCATCCAAAAACTCCAGAGCCATGACACCAAGTATGCTGCCACAAGACCACTACATTTGTCACTCAGTTCTCAACACCACTTTGCAGTCCCTTCCCCGACACAACATTAAGACCAACCTTCACTCATTCACCCAACGTTTCCAGCTAATTTTCTATGTAAGCTTTCAGTTACACCAAATTGATCTGTTGCTCCCCTTTCTCCATACATACATGTCTCATGTTCTCCAGGACTTACATTCCTACCAGTGACAAGTGGGAATCATTTTTTGTACTTTAAGGTGATTTGTATGAGCCTGTCCCCATCTGCCTGGCACATAGTTAGAGCTCAGTACGTTTTAGTTCCTTATTTAAAAAAAAAAAAAAAAAAAAAATTTTTTTTTTGAAACACTGTAGCCTCAGACATATACCAATTCTTCTTCCTAAGCCTCTCAAGTGTTGAAATTATAGGCATGAGCAACCACAGCAGGTCTTATTTCAAAAACTTCTTATCTGTTCTTTCAGGGCATCTTTCTCCTCCCTCTCTTTCTTTCTTTCTTTCTCTCTTCTTTCCTTCCTTTTCTTTCTATTTTTTAATTTTTAAAACATTTCATCTATTATTTTATTATATGTGTGTGAGTGTATTACCTGCATATATGTAAGTGCACCCATGTCATACAATGCCTGCAGAGGTCAGAAGAGGACCTTAGGTCCCTGGAATTGGAGTTACAGGCAGTCGTTAGTTGCCATGTGGGTGCTGGGAGTCAAACCCAGGTCCTCTGCAAGAATAGCCAGTGCTCTTAACCACACTGAGCCATCTCTCTAGCCCCTCTTACTCTTTTTGAGATAGGGTCTCATTTTGTGGCCCTGACTGGCCTGGAACTGGCTATGTAGACCCTGAGCTCCCAGAGATCTGCCTGGATTAAAAGCAGACACTACCATACTCAACATTATTTTTTTATGTGCATTGAGTATTTTGTCGGCCTGTATATATACTTTGTGTGGGCCTGGTGCCTGCAGAGGCCAGAAGAAGGTGCTGGATCCCCTGGAACTAGAGCTATAGACAGCTGTACGACACCATGTAGGTGCTGGGAACTGAACCCAGATCTTCTGCAATCAGTGTTCTTAACTGCTGAGCCACCTCTCCAGTTTGTTCTCTCTCTCTCTCTCTCTCTCTCTCTCTCTCTCTCTCTCTTTCTCCCTCTGGGTCTAATTATATAAGTTGCCCAGGTTGGCCTTGAGTTTGAAATCCTCCTGCCTCAGCTTCCTGATTCCTAGGTGATAGGATTACAGGCTTATACCACCACACCTAGCTTCCTTCTTATCTTAATTATAAGAGGGAGAGAGTTCTGAAAAATCTGATGAAAGAAGTATGTTAATCCCCCAATTAAATTCCAAGTGCCCTGAAAGTTCTACCTGGTCAATGTTTTTAATTATCTGAAGGATCAGCATAACTTGTATAATGAAAGGAAGACATGAATGAGTATTTAGAGTAACTTCTCAGAAACCCTCTTCCCCAAGTACACCAGAGGATGCTATTCCAAACCTGCCTGCATCTTGCAGGAAAACACAGTGCTGAGGAATGACTCCTAGGCTTCAGTTGGAGCATTCCCTCTGTACATATTTCCCCTGAATGCTGAACAGTGCTGGGTATGACAAATGAAAAGATTGTTTCTATGTTAGAAGTTCTTGCAGACCCATGACATGAACATATGTAACAATGGTATGGTATTGGCCACACTGTGGTATGTGTCAGTAGGCCACGGTAATTGAACTCCTGGGGAGATCACGAGCAGAGATGAGGGAGGGCTGAGAACCTTTGGCGCAGAGGAACCAGGTGCAGTCTGGGCTAACAATATGATAGAGAAGAGCTTGCTGCGCTGGAGCTTTGAGAACAGAGAGATAGAAGCCTGATGTGGTTGCTTAACCTGTAATCCCAGCAGCTGAGAGGCTGAGGAGGGAAGATTTCTGTAAGTCTGAAGTCAGCCTGGGTTACATAGTGAGTTCTAGGCCAGCATAAGCTACAGATAAAAACCCCGCCTCATGTGGTAGTACATGTTTTTAATCCTAGCACTTGGGGGGCTGGAGAGACGGCTCAGCAGTTAAGACCACTGGCTGCTCGATTCCCAGCACCCACATAGCAGCTAACGACTGCCCTAAATCCAGTTCCAGTGGATCTGATACCCTCTTCTGATCTCCAAGGGCATCGCACAACATGGGTGCACCTACCTACATGCAGGCAGTACACTCACACACATAAAAAAAAATAATAAAAATAAATATTAACAAAAATCCTAGAACTTGGGAGGCAGAGGCAGGTGGATCTCTGTAGGCCAGCCTACATAGGGAGTTCCACACTAGCCAGGGCTACCTTTTCAGACTATCTGAAAACAAGACAAAATAACCTGTCTCAAAGAAAAAGGTGGGGAGATGGCTGGGGCGACATGCTTGCACAAAGACTTGAGTTCAGATCCCCAAGATTCATGAAAAAGCCAGGCATGGTGGCACATGTTGTGACCCTAGTGCTGGATGTGGAGGGAGGGCTGAGACAGGAGATCACTGGGCTTGCTGGCCAGCCAGACTAGCAGAAATGGTGAAGTCTACGGTCAGTGGAGATCCTGCCTCAAAAAATAAGGTGGAGAGTGATAGAGGAAGACACCTGACTGATGTTGACCTTTGGCCTCTCCATGCTAGCAAGCATATATGTGCCTGCACACAAATAAATAAAAAATAAAACAAAAAATAGGGCCATTGAGATGGCTCATGGGGTAAAGGCATTTGCTATGCAAGCCTGATGAGCTGAGTTTGATTGCTGGCACCCACGTAAAGGTGGAAGGAAAGATCTGACTCCACGAAGTTGTCCTCTGACTTTCACACGCATGCTGTGGCACATGAACCTGCATACACACCATGCTGGCACCCACGTAAAGGTGGAAGGAAAGATCTGACTCCACGAAGTTGTCCTCTGACTTTCACACGCATGCTGTGGCACATGAACCTGCATACACACCATGCACACACACACACACACACACACGCACACACACACACACACACACACCTACACCTCAATAATAAAAAGGAGAGAGAGAGAGAAAAAGAGGGCGAGAACAAGTTGCTTGGTGAAGGGCAAGCATCTTGTTTTGTGGGTGTCTTGAAGGGTTGAACCAGGGCAGCTAGATGGGAGGCTTGAAAATCATGCTAGGACTTTGCTAGTGATGGGCCTGGGTACAGCTGTGTTCAGCAGGTCAGTGGGGACAGATGTATGATGTGCTGAAGGGGATGGGCAGAGTACATTCATAGAGATCCCAGGAAGGTCTGCTACGGGGTTTAGCTCTGGGCCTAGGAGAGAATGCAAGGCAGTGACAGCTGAGGAGTTGTTCACAGTTCGGGGTGACAGCATGAAGGGAGGAAGTCCATGAAAGAGCAAAAGAGCCTAGAGAAGTTTCTACAGGAGCAGCCAGGACAGAAAAGCTAGGGAAGTCAGGCAGGTTGACGTGGAAGCACTTCAGAAGGGATCAAGGCTGAGGACTGGAGCAAGGATTCTGGCTTGTTAGCTAGGAGGCCACTGGCATCCAAGGCACATGGTGAAAGTGTCACTTCACAGTAGAACCAGCTTTGTGGCCTATGATGTGAATGGACACCACTCCCAACTTCCTGCTCCAGCTCCTTCAGAGTTTAGAGGATAGGCTGGAGAAGGGAGAAAGATAAGATATGCAGGCTACTCGCATCCGGCAACACTACATCACACAAGACTTGAGGTTGGCCTCTTGCCTCCCTCTACCTTCTCAGGGTCCCTAGATGAGCTCATCTTACACCCACCCACCATCGCCCACCATCCCACCATCGCCCACCATCCCACTATCGTCCACCATCCCACCATCGCCCACCATCCCACCATTTCACCATCGCCCACCATCCCACCATCGCCCGCCATCCCACCATCGCCCGCCATCCTACCATCACAAGGGGCCTTTTTCAGTCATTTGCCTGATATCACTCAGGCTCACACTTGCTTAGATCCTTTATGCACCAGAAGCTACCAGGACTGCTGAAGTCTCTGTGTGGATATGAAGTCCACTAGAAGTTACTTTCCTACCACAAACTCCTGTATGTTAATGCCCCACCTAAGTTTCATCAAAGACCTAGTCTTTTGACTTCCCTCCCTGCCTTCTTTTTGGACAGGTTCTCACTCTGTAGGCCAGGTTGGACTGGAAAAACTCTTAATCCTCCTGCCTCAGTCTCCAGAAGGCTGGGTTACAGGTGTATGCCACCATGTCTAACTCTGGCTTCTTCATTTTAGTATATTCCATGTCAAATTGGTAGAGAAGGCCCCAGGATGTGAAGAATCATCCAGGGTAAGGAGCCTGCTTGCTGGGCAGAGGGACTAGGTGATGTGGTGTGGTAAGGATTGGGTTCCGAGCCCAAGCAGTGACCAAAGGCCAAAGCAGGTGTCAGAAATTAGGCTTGGGGCTCTAGGATGGGATGAAGGCACTCCAGGGGATGGTCCTGTTCTCTGAAACTGTACTCCTTCACCCTTTAACATACTCTGTCCCTGCCTGCCAGGCCTCACCTCAAAAAGCAAGAAAGGAAACAGTAAGGGCTTTCTGGAGCCGGCCCCCAGAGGCTTGTCTGTGCTGGGGAGGTCAAAGAGGGAGGGAGGGGCCAGAGAAAGGCCCAGAAGAAAGCCGAGGCCAGACAAAGGGCCCAGTCCACCTTTGAAGCCGTCTCTAACCCAAGAGGGAGGGTGGGGGTGGACCAAGGCCCGGCTGGGGGGAGGCCGTCTAGAGTCTTAAAGAATGTCTCAAATTCCTGCGGAAATCAGAGGGATCAGAGCCCCCCTCCCCAACACACCTCCTCTGTGTCCTCCTCCCAGCCCCCCCAAAGTCCAATCCTCCACACCTGGGGGGCCCCAACCCTTTGTCCTCAAGTAATTGCTGGGTGTTGCCCCAGTTTTAAAATCCCATTGAACTCGCCAGTTATCAGCTTCAGCCCCAGACCACCCGCCCTACACACACCCCACAAAACTACCCCCAACACGTCCCGCGGTCTTCACTAGGATTAAGGCTCTTTGTGATGGGGGGACAGAAAAAAGCAACCTGGTGAAAAGCAATTATGACGAGCTGGAAGGAGCACTTCGGTCCTCCCTCCTTGGCTGCTGCCGGCTCCACCTTTTAAATGGCCCAAGGTTGGGGGTCAGGCTCTGCTCCAGCCCCGAGTTGGCTTGGTCTGCCGCTGCCCACCTCCAGCTCCGACTAAACTGGCCCCCTGGCCCTACAACTTCTGTTCTTGACTTCTAAAGGCCATTATTGGGAGACGTGGGAAGTAGGGTTAGCTTTCATCCATTTCGTTTCTCTCCACAATACTCCTCCCCAGAAGGGGAAACTGAGGCTGGGGTCTCCATCAGAAGAAGAGGGTCCCAGATACAAGGGCAAGATGAAAAGCCAATGTACGGAAGGAAAAGGCGACTTTTATGGCCTCGGAGTTCCAGCCCCAGACACACCTGGAGGCCCCTGGGAAAGCCCACCCGAGAAGCTCGGTGGGGGCAGGGCGCCCTCCCTCTCCTGGGGACAATCCGGGCCCAGCCCGCCGCCCGGCCTCTAATTGAGACTTACTCTCAGGTGTGGCCCCCGCCCCCTCCCCCAGCCCGGACCTGGGAGAACAAGAGGACACATTCTCGTCCCTACCGGCTTCCGCTCGTCCCAGGCTTCCTCCCCCTGCCCGGCCCGCCTCACCGGAAAAAAGCAATCTTACTCCGAGCTAGGTGGCTTCGGGCCTCCGGCCTCGCTCCGGCTACCCCCGCCGCCCCTCGGGCCTGTGCCCCGCAGGACGCCCGCCCCGGCCCGGGTGCGCCTAGGGTCTGGGTTTTCTTCGTCCCACCAGGTAGCTGCGACAAAGCGATCCGGGGCACCGGAACCCGAGGAGGGAGGGGCCGCCGATCCCCAGGGCCAGGTCCCAGCCACCGGCTCCTCGCCGCCTGCCCCTGGGCACAGGGTCCCCGTATGGCGGACGTGCAGGCTGCAGCCACTGCACCTGCCGGCCCTGGTGCCCATCTGCCCCGGCTGGCAGCGGGTTCCCCCGTGCCGCCTGCACCAGCCACCTTGTTTGCAGTAGTGTTCTGTCATCTGATCACCCACCCCTCTTCAGAGGACCCATTTGCAGGAAAATGGTTTTATTCTGAGACTTGGGGTGGGGGTGCAGGTCTGGGGTGAGAAATGTGAAGAATGGTGGTTTCTATCTTTCCCTCTCTTATTTGGGGAAAGAGAACCAAAATTCCCTTCTTATTGTCTGGTCAGGAGTTTGGGTATTGGGGACAGACTGAGCAAGAGATTCTGGGAGGAAGATTTGGGGACAGCCAGCTCCGGGTAGTGTCTGCTTGGATTCTGCTGACTTGCCCACTTGTTTCAGGCATGGGACGCTGGCATTTGAGGTCAGGGAGACCCTAGGTCCTCTCCAGGGATCTGTCTGCCCTTAGCCTCAAAAGGCCTGTTTCAGTGTGCCATGCCCACCCTGGGGTACAGCAGTCTGGTCCCTTCCCAGCTGGGAATCAGATGCTTCAGGCCCTCAGGGTCTTTTGGGGGGTCCAGCTCCCCACCCTCAACCCCAGCTCCATCTTTGGATCAGTTAGGGAAAGGAGTGGGAAGGCTGCTGTTTAGGCAAACACCCGGCTTCCCTGACTACGTTTGGGGCTGGGGCCTCCGGGTGCGCTTGGTCCTGCGGGTGGGGGCCGAGCCCACGAACTCAAACTGCTTCTGCCTTTCAGCATGGTTGGGGAACGGCAGCTGGCCCTGGTAGAGGCGCTTGATGAAGTGGGCCTCTCGCTGGTTCTGGCGGCTTCGGGAGGCCTGGCGGGGCCGGCCCTGCCGAGTGAAAGCCATGAACCAGCCCTCGTGCCGAGCATTCTGGAAGGCTGTGTAGTTGTTCTCCAGCACGATCTCGGTGAACACGCAGTCTTTGCTCTTCCCGCTGGGCTGAGGGAGAGAGGGGCAGAGGGAGGGAATTTGTCTGCCCACCCTGGCTGGATTGTCTGTCTTTGGTCCTATTTTGTAGGACCCAGGAGGGAGCAAGGAGGCACTGGGCCCAAGGACTGTCCAGTGAGATGGTCGTTTTTGTTAATGAGGCACCGGTGGGCAATACATACAGGCTGTGCTTGGAGTCAGAGCTGAATTTAAATACAGACTTGCTGGTTGGCAGTTCCCAAGAAGCCTTGGGAAAGCACTGAACCTGTTTCCTTAGATACAGAGTAAAGATCAAGGCAATAGGCAGTTCAGTGCCTACCTGGGGCACTTGGCACATGAGGACTCCATGAGATCTAGGTGAAGGCTGTTGCTGGGTAGAGAGAGGGAGGCAACTGTATCTAATGAAAAGGGTGTCAGACACGGCTGCACACTTGACCCTATTCGTATTTTTACAGATGGGAAGTTGGATGGTACTTGGTGAGCAACAGCCAGAGCTGAAAGTCAAGAAAGGGCAATTCAAAAGGAAGTAGAGTGTTTTTTACCCACAGTGCTGGGTTCTCTATCAAGTGAGGCTTCACCAGTAGGTGCTTAGTGTTCATCTTGCTAGTTGGGGCACATGGACCCCACTAAACTGGGGACCACTTCTACCATATATGTATGCTCTAACTCTCAACCCTTATCAGCCCTTACCTCTCCACACAGGATGCCACACCACACATCACATACAACATCATGTAGTTGATAAAATTCTTCCTGATTACTCTGGGGAAATATGCCTTACATCAATCAGAGCCAGGACCCTCTGCCCTCAGCAGGTTAGGAGCCACAAGGATGTCTTTACATAGAGAGATTGGGGGAGGGGATGGTTTTAAGACAATAAGATCTAGTCCTGTCAAGCAAGAGTCCTGGTTTTCACCAGGTGAATTAGGCCAGCCACAGGAGTGGAGTATGTTGCTGTGGCCTTGCTTGCCCTCACCCCAGTAGGGAAGACATCTCTCCGCTGCCCTGTGTCCCAGGCCTCACCTTCCCGATGAGCTTGCCCCTCTTGTTCATACAGATATACTTCTCGCTCTCTGCCCCCTTGATCCGGACCCGGCTGCCGAACGTATCCGTCTCCACTATGAGCTTGGCTATGATGAGGGAAGGGAGAAAGACCTGTGTCCATCAGGGCTGCTGGCCCAGGGGTGTACAAGGAGCCTCCAGGCAGCCTGCCCTTCAAACCAGAGGGATGAGGAGCTATTCAGACCTTTAGGCCAATGGGGTCTCCTCCATGGACTTCCTCCTGTTTACCTCCTGCACCTCAAGCCCTGACCCAGGAGCTGGGGATAGACCAAGAGGCCAGGTGAAGCAGGGTACAGTGGCTTAGGGTGAAGACCAGGACTTACCGAATTTGTTGCCGTCCTCAGCGGTGGCGGAGATGCGACGCCCGGTGACCTGCACGTGCTTGCCACTGGTCCGGCTGTAGAGCTGGTACTCACGGATCTGCCGCCTGCTCAGTTGGTCAGTCATGGCACCCTGGTCCCTCACGTACTGGTTAAAATTAGGAGACGGGTGATTCTCCCCCTTTGCGGTTACCAAGGGAAAAATAGTGTCAATTTGCTTTGGACAACACCACCACTGGTCCATCTGGGGAGGAGGGTGAGGAGGTAAGTGGAGTGGGGCTGGCCATGTGCCCTGCAGAGTAGAGGGTGTAAGGTGAAGACTGCTTGTGGCCATGACCTCTGGGCTCTGTGTTTACCCAGGAGCAAGGGACTTATGGCTACCCAGTCTTGGGGAACACGGTGAGACAGCATAGATCTGTGAGCAACTCACGTTGCAAGAAGGAACCTTCAAAGTCATGGTGTCCTGTCCCCATGATCTATGGAGCAGGTGCATGGGGCACACAGTTCATAGGCAGAACTCCTTTCCCTTCCTCTGGGGTCTTGGCTCTATTAATCAGGACCACCAGATTTACCCCACTGGCCCTAAAGGTCCCAGCCCCAGCACATAGAACAGATAGTTTGTTAGGTGCATTGAGTTAGAATCAATGGAAAATATTTTTGGGTCTTGTATGTCCTTATCCTTAGTGTCCTGGGGGCTCCAGAGAGAGAGAGAGAGAGAGAGAGAGAGAGAGAGAGAGAGAGAGAGAGACTGTCTTAGCACAGAGGGAAATCAGTGGCTGCTTTCATGGTCTCCTGCCTGCCAGTGCGTTACTTAGGTGTTTAGTGGCCTTCTGCCTCCCATTTTGAGGAGCCATTTCTACCCATGTTGTGCATCAAGCCTGTCCAGTTCCATCTCCATACTGGGGCTTGCCTTAACCAGCCTTATCCTGAGTGGAAGAGAAACCAATTACTTCCTGCCCTTTTTCTTCCCTAACGTGCCCACCAGGGTGACAGTTGCCAGCTGCTGGTGATAGTCTTTAACTCGACAGGAAAGTACACCTCATTTTTATTTCTTCACATGAATCCCCCAGGCCGGTGTGGGGACAACCCTTCCTTGCTCCTAATTCCCAGTTTTCCATCAATAATTATCTTGGGCCTGATCCCAGCCACCAGGACCAAGCTAGAGCCAGACCCAGCTCACCATGTTAGGGGCCACTCTCTCCTAGGCAGAGAGGAGTGGGAGATATCAACTTGGAGGAGCGGAAAGTGAAGGAGTAACCAACCTCAAGGCACGAAGTTTAACCTGCTCAGGGTTAGCCCTTCCATCCTTCCATCATTACCCATTCCCAACCCCAGTTCATAAAGACCAGAAGTTGCCAGGGCCCTGGAAGGAGAGGAGTATCTTTGGGACCTGCCCTGCAGCCCACCTAGAAAAACTTGAGGCCAGCATTTGGGGGTGGGGGATATGCCGCTTGCCCCTCACAGGCCTCCTTGCCAGGGGTCCATCTCAGCCTGAGCCTCCTGGCCCAGGTTCAGGCTGTCCGCCCCTCTTGGCGGGCAGCCTCCTCCTGGCAGTCTGTTCCAGGTCAGGGGCAGATAGCGGCCCCCCCAAAGCCCCCTCCTCTCCTTGTCCCCCTTCAACTCTTTCACAAAAGTAGCCCACGCCCCCCCATAGCCCACAGCCCACAAGTCCCTCTCCCCACAGGACCTTGCCTGTTCCTTTCATGTTCCCGCTGTGGGGGGACCTCCCCTTCCACCACCGCAGACAGCTGCTTGTCAGACGGCCCCTCAAGCATGGCTGTGGTTCAGCCTGCTGCCCCCCCTCCCAGGGGGGTAAGGGGGCACTTCAAGGGGGAAAGGACAGCCTTGCCACCTTCCCTGAGTCCTGAATGGGGCCTCAGCCAGGCCATAAACGCCCAGGCCAGCAGCACCATTGTGCTAATTCCCCTTCCAGAACAGGTTGGGCCCACCCCCAGCCCCCTCCCTGCCAGGCTGGGGGCTTTCTTCTTGCTCTCCCTGGATGTGTGAAGCAAAAGGCCTGGAACGGGGCTAGAGCAAAAGGGGGAAGGAAAAGGGGGGTGTTGTCTCTCTCCCACCCCCCCACTGCTTCAAAGGCAGCCCCTTCCCTCTCCAGAGAAAAGGCATTTACCTTCAAAAAAAAGTCCCCAGTGGATGGGAAGAGAAGCAGGCCTCCGGCCTGGGAAAGCCAGGCGATCTCTCCCCAGAGCGGTTCTGGACCAGTGCATTTTAATAGCTGCACTTTTATGGAGGATCACAAAAAAGGGACAGAGCCTCGCACTGGGGGCTGAGGCTTGGAGGTGGGAGGCGGTGTAGAGAGGTAAACCCGGAATCCCATCCCAAACAAACCTCTGGGCTTGACCTGAGTGGCCTACAGGCAACAAGTCATCCCACCTGGCTGGACACTTCAACTGCGCCTGAGACCCTGGCCACCCATGGATGACCCAAACATGTTGGCGAAGGTTGGCAATGAGTGGACCAAACAAGTGGTTTGGCACCAACCAGCCCTTCAGGTGCTTTCAGGCACAAACTTCACCTGAGCTATCCCCTCCACTGGCTTCTAACTGACCCATGGCTCTAACCCTCAAGTCTTAAGTGCCCACACCATTAGCCTTCCAGGAGCCCATCGGTAAGGGATAGGAGTTGGGGTGGGGGTTGTTGGGGAGGCCTGAGATACAAACCTCAGTCTATTTCCCATCCTGCGGCAGCCTGTTCTCCAACCTGCCTTGTTGACTAACTCTCCAAACCTCAGTACCTGTTGGGCTGGGAGAGGCCAGCACTACTTCCCCTCCACTGAGGTGGGGTGGGAAAGGTCGGAAAAGCTAAGCAGGGGTGCTTACCTGTGTTTGACAGCAGAGAATCAAGAGCTGCAAGCACCTGTGTGAGGAGACAAGGCAGACCCAGGTGTGGGCGCCCCAGGGCACACCCGTCCCCCACCTCCTCCCAGCTCGACAGCCCGGATGGGAATCCCCGGGAGGTAGGTCTGTCCTGGGGCTGGAAATGGCAAAAGAACTCCAGTCCCAGCAGCACACTTACAGAGTAAGGTTGGGCAGCAGGCGGGCGGCTCCCATCGCTGGAGACACTTCTTGGGGCGGTTGCCCCTCTGCCCCCCAAACTCAGGAGCAGATGTGGGCAGGCCCCAGGGGTAGAGTCCCAGAAAAGCCAAGGTCTCTAGGAGCCACAGGATTTCAGGGGGGAAAGGAGAGGGAGGGGAGGAGAAGGAGGCTAGCGGAGGGGGAGGAGGGGAAGAGGGCCTAATTGGGATACTGAGGTGCGAGGTGTGCACCTTCCCAGCCAGTGAGACTGCGAAGCTGGAGGTGGTGGGGGTTGAGGTACTCGAGCCCTCGGGCTGCCAGCCTCGGGAGGGGGTCCCCGGACGCAGGGGATGGAGCTGCGGGAGCGTCTCTATCAGGAGGCTAGTCCCTGCGATCTCCGGGTGTGTTCCTGACCCCGCGCGGACCTGCTAGGCTCGGTGAAGTGCAGGGCGCGGGGCAGACACCAGGGAGGGAGGGCGCTCCCGCCCTCAGGTTTGTGGCCTCAACCTCATCTCCCCAAGGGTGAGCCGCAGGTAGAGAGCTGGGGCTGGGGTCGCGAGTTCTGGCTCCGGGTGGGAATTCCCAGAAGCAGCCTTAAAAGGAGGAGCCTCCCTCCAGGGGGCAGGGGTGGGCTTGGCTTGAGCGGCTGCTGGCTCGGCCTCTCTGCTGTCACCTTGCCACCGGGAAGGAGGGGTTAAGGCTGCCATGCCGGGCGACAAATAGTGGGTGCAACAGGTTGGGGCCAAAGGAGTCAGGTGTAGGTAGCTAGGGGGTCTTGAAAGGACCCCAACAGCCACGAAAGCTGGCTTGAGATGGAGATTGGAAAGGCCTTTGCAGTCTCCTCCAAGAAGTGGGACAATCACTGGAGGAGCAAATGAAATAACAGCATTGAGCAGACTTGGGAATCCCCAAGATGTTCTGGGCCTCATTTGGGGGCTGAGACCCAGCCCCACTCTCCCCATCTACTAGTGTCCCCTAGCAGTTTCCTGGTCTGCAATGCCCACTAGTATAGACACACGACCTCCAGTCCCACATAGGTGGGTCCCTAACCCAGATATTTACTACCGCAGTTTGCCGAGGAGGAAACTGGCAGGGGGTAGGTAATTTCCTCGGAACAAGCCAGCTGGTAAGTGGACCAGCCGGTTTTCCAGAATCCATGCTCTTTCTGTTAACTGGAATTGTGGTCGGGCCCTCCAGGATCCCAAGCCTCAAGGGATTCATTTTAAGGGTCCTGAGAGGCCTTCCCGGATTTTAACATGTTAGATAGCTGAGGTCCTGAAAGCTGGTCAGCAATCCTCTCCCCCCAGGGAGGTGGATGGTGGTGAAGTGAAAGGGGGAGAGTTTTGGGGATCACCAAGGGCACCCCAGTCTCAGAATGAGCTCCAGCTCTGGGCTCCAGGGAGTTCTTAGGGCAGAACGGATGTGCATTTATTTACCTTTTAAAGAGTTGAGTGGGAGGGTGAAACTCTCACCTCCAGGTTCCCTCTCACCTCCCTGAGCCCCATCAATCCACAAAGTGGTCTGCCACCCTGCCACACACACAAACAAATCAGCAGACCCCACCCCCACCCAAGGGCTTTGCCCAGCTCTGGCAGGGGATAGGCGAGCTCCGCCCTCTGCCGACTCAAAGTGTCACTACAGGGGGCCTGGGAGTGGGTTTTCAATAGCTGACTTAGAAGGTGGGGGCTGGGGGTGAGGGAGAGTCTAAGGTTTTGGAATAAAATTTAAAGAATGTCAAAACTGGGAGTTGACTGGGGATGTAGCTTAGTTGGTAGAGGGCTTGCCTAGCATGCATGAAACCCTGGGTTTGATCACCATCACTGCTTAAACTGGGTGTGGGGGTTCATGCTTATAATCCAATACTCTAGAGGTGGAAAGAATCTGGAGGATCAGAAGTTCAAGGTCATCTTTGGTTACATAGGAAGTTTGAGGTTAGCCTGGGATGTGAAACCTTATCTTTAAAAACCTGTGGAAACTGGAAGGCAACTATCTCATAGCTAGTTAGTGTGCAGCTGGGCCAAGGGGCCAAGGAACCAATGCCCAGTACAATGCAGAGTAGCAATGTACACAGCCTTCTGTTCTCTGAACAAGCTCCAGCTGTCTCACCTCCCAGCCCTGATGAGCACACTCTGAATCCTCACGCCCCATTTCCATCTTCCACATTCTTACCACCATTTGCAGCTCATATAAGTCTTTCCCAAGGAACCCCACCCCCACCCCTTACCTTCCCATCAGACTCAGCTCTGACTTGATTCTCTGGGAAACCTTTGACCTCATTCCCACATCCCCACCAGCTCCCAGGTCCACCTGGCCTCAATCCCAAGAGTCAAGTAGGCTCACAGGTAAGAGGGCACAGATACATGGAAGGGACAGCTAAAGCCTTGTGATTCCATGGTGATCAAGATGTCAGCTGAAGTTGTCATACTAAGGTGTCCCTTGGTGCTGGTCACTTTGTGCCTATTGGGGCTCATTCACCAAGGGACAGTGGGAGCTGCTCAAGGCTTCTGAGCCTGAGTACCTGGTTCCTGTCGCTGTGGAGAGGGCTTGTCACTGGCCAGTTCTCAGTCCAGCCTGGGTCTCCATGGTAACAAATGCCAGCAGTCAAGCTTGGCCTTGAGGTTGAGCCAGGGGCTGGTGCTAGGGGTGATGGGGGAATGGCAGGGGTCACTTGCTTTGTGCCTTCTATGTCTTTGGCTTCTTGTCCCTTGCCATTTGACACTTTCAGGTATGGCTTTCAGGTTTGCTCTCTTACCTTCCTGGAAGAAGCAGTAGTGGAGCCCAAGGGGGCAGGCAGCAAGTGTGAGGGGATTTTCATTTTCTTATTTTTTTATTATTTTATGAGTATGAGTGTATTTCCTGCATGTATGTAAGTGCATCTGTGTTGTGCAGTGCCCTCAGAGGTCAGAAGAGGGCGTCAGATCCCCTGGAACTGGAGTTTTCTAGTGGTTGTTAGCTGCCATGTGGGTGCTGGGAGCTGAACCCGGGTCCTCTGCAAGTATAGCCTGTGCTCTTAACTGCTGAGCTATCTCTCCATCCGTTTTTAAAAATTTTTAGACGTAGTTTTTTTTTTAATGTGTGTGAATGTTTTACTTGCATGTATAGAAGTATACCCATGTCCTGCATGACCATGCTGGCCTAGAACTGGAGCTACAGATGATCATGAACCACCATGTGGGTGCTGGGAATCAAACCTGGGTCCTCTGCAAGAAAGCTAGTGCTCTTAACTGCTGAGCCATCATCTCTCTAGCACCCGATTTAAAAAAAAAAAAAATTGAGAAAGGGTCTCATTATGCAGACCAAGCTGCCCTTGAACTCAGAGATCTGCCTGCCTCTGCCTTCCAAGGATCTCAACCACTGAGCCATCTCTCTAGACCCCTGAATTTTTTTTTAGGCTAGGTCTCACTATGTAGCCCTGGCTGGCTTGGAACTCACTATATAGATTAGGTTGGCCTCAAACCCACAGGGATCTGTCTGCCTCAGTCTCCTGGGTGCTGGGATTACAGGTGTAACACTTCAGTCTGGATATGATCTCTGTTCCCTCCTTTGCCTGGACCTTATAGGCTATGTGAAAGCTCTGATTCTGTGGTCCCAAGTTCTCTTTTATAAAAAGGAAATGATTATTATCATGTCAATTGCGACAAAGGTGCCAGGTGGAGGATGGGGGATGGTGACCTTGTATTTGGTTTGGGCTCAGTTTACTTGAACTTTGGCAGACTTTCTCCCCTGGTGGATCTGGGGAGGAGGGAAGGGAGAAAGGGAAGACTCATTAACATTTGGGGGGCAGGGCTGCAGGAGGTGCTAAACTAAGGGAGAAGTGGTGATGCTCTTGTTAATCCCCACCCCCTAGTGCCAAGTTCAACACCCCCCAGCTGGGCTGTCTCACGCTTAGGCCTCAACAGCCCAGCTGCTGCAAACAGAGCCCACCTGCAGATGCCACTGTCAGCACCACCGGCTTCTGTCCAGCCCATCCTTTTCCTGTTGAGACACCAGAGGGTTAGGGCAGGGGAGGCAAAGGGCAGCCTTAGAGATGTAGACCGATATCTATGCCATTTGATCCCCTACTGTAGGCCTGCAAATCCAGTCAGATGATCACTGATCTGTTGAGCACCCCCATGTGTGGATCAGTGTATTCGCTGAGTGCCCCTGTGTGTGGAACTGTGAAGCCTTGCCTAGGGCTGGGGGAGGGAAAACATCCCTGCCAAGTCTGCACTTGGCTCTGAAGAGGCTTCCCCCACACAGAGGACAGCACTCTAGCCCCTGCCCCATTTTATACAGACTTCCTGTGCACTGGCTCATCTTTCCCTCGAATCAGCAGACTGGTCAAATTCAAGGGCTCTGAGGGCAGATTATCTGGCTCCTCCCCTCTGCTGTGTGACCTGGTGCAAACAGTTTAACTTCTCTGTGCTTCTGTTTTCTCCTTTGAAAAGTGAAGCTAAGAACACCCACCTCAAGGCATGGTTGTGAGGATGAAAGAAGAGTCGGGGGACTGCATGGACCGTGTGGGCTTGTGGCTACTTGTGCCATGTTAGCCTCTCTTTTGGCCAGACCCTTGGAGCCCAGTCCTGCCTGCCTCAGGTCAGCTTGCTTGTCTTCCTTTAAAGCATTTGCCACGAACTGAAAGTATGGTGTTTGGCCTTGTTTTTCCACTAGACTGCAGGCCACTTGGCCCTATATGCTGTGGCTGACACCAGTGAACCAGGTTGAATGAATACCATCTGCACCGAGGGCCAAGGAGTAAACAAGAGTTGAAGCTGGATCTCAACCTTCCCATGAGGGTATTGAAAGCCCTCGGACCTCCTGTGACCCTCATGTGGGGGTTCTGGGCAGCTCCTCACTGGCCATCTTCAGGCCTAGCCTACAGGGATGCTGAAGTGTGGCAGAAATCCAGCACAGGTTCTGTGGACACAGCACCCTCCTAGGGAGTATCAGTACCAGGGCCACCCCTCAAGGAAGAGGCTCCAAAGCCACCTCAGCAGGCCTGAGGAGGGCGGGCAGCCAGAAACATGCAGTGCTTATTCACCTTGTTTTCTAACTGTTGGCTGGCCTTACCCTGTCCCATGACTGGGCCCTCTCAAATGTCATGTGGGGCTCAGCCCCCTAATAGAAGTAGCCTAGGTGTCCTCTGAAGGTCCCGTCCTCTGTTCTGAACCTTTGACAGCTGCCTCACAAGAGCAGGGGAGGTAAGCAGACTGGAGCTAGGCTCCGACCCAGGCCCTTCTGGTGGCAGAAGCTGCTGGGGTTCTAGAGGTCGGTACCTGTAAACCTCTCATGACCAAAGAGAATTAGTCTCCCCAGCCCCAGCTCAGCTGTGGACTTGGGGCTGAGGCCATATCCCCCGCCTTCCCTCAGTGTCCAGTGAACCCAGAAGAGAGGAAGTAGCCCATGGGTGGATTGCTGGCTCCAGCCTGCCCTCTGCTGGGCACATGAGCTGGCACAGCAGCAAGGAGACCTGTCCAGGGAAAAGGCAGCAGAAGGTTCTGACCAAGCAAATTTTATTGTGGCTCTGCGCATACTTTCAGTCTTCTTCTCCCAGGGCCTCCTGAAACTGGAGGGCTTGGGTGTGGAGACTCAGGTAGAGGGGCCAGATGGAGACACCTGCACCAAGCCATAGCTGGGAGATACCCTCTGTTGGACGCAGGAGAGGCCATCATAGGTACCTCATTTCTTGGACACCAGCTTCTTAGGTTTGAGTGTAGATTTCCCCTGTGCAGACAAGGGAGGGCTTCAGTCTCCAGTCTTCCCTGCCTGGGCAGCCTCTCCCAGGGCCAGCCCCAGCTGCTCTGTGCTCACCTTTTTCCAGGGGCTCTTGTCTCTAGTGCTGGGCCTGGAAGAGGGTGGGGTTAGCAAGGAATAGGGAAGGGGTAGGTAAGAGCTCAACTTCATGCTATAGTTGGGCCCTCTGGATTCCTGTATGAGTGAGAAGAGCTGGAGCCGTTCACCTAGACAGGTGGGCTGGTCCAGAGGGGTGAGCTGCCTGCCTGGCCCTCACCTGGGCACTTCCATTGCTGCTCTGCTTCTGTGTGTGTGTGTGTGTGTGTGTGTGTGTGTGTGTGTGTGTGTGTGTGCGCGCGCACGTGCACGCACGCACTGCTGGGAATTGAAGTCAAGCCCTTACATAGGCAAGCACTCTACCACTGAGCTTTATTCCTGGCCCATTTTTTAAATGAATTTTATTTTTGTGGTGTGGGGGAGCGAACTCAGAGCTTCTTGCACACTAGGTGAGCGCGCTGCCTCTGAGCTACAGCCTCAGCTCAGCTTCTCTCTTGTTTTCTTCTTAGACTTCCATTTGCTTTCTTTCAGTTATCAAAAATACCCTTTTCATGATGGGAGGGGAGAAGGGTATTAAAAGGGAGGGTTAGAGGAGTTTGAGGGTGGGGACAGGCTCAACATACAACATATATTTAAAATAAAATTTAAGGGGCTGGAGGGATGTCTCAGTGGTTAAGAGCACTGGCTGCACTTGCAGAGGACCCAGGTTCCGTTCCCAGCACCCACATGATGGCTAACAACAGTCTGTAACTCCACTTCCAGGAATCCAATGCCCTCTTCTGACCTCTGCAGGAATTGTACAATGTGGGTGCACTTATACACATGCAGGCAATACACTGACACACAAAAATATTAAAATAAATACAATTTAAAATGCTAAATATTAAAAAAATTTTTTTTGATTTGACCCCTAACAAAGGGTCTCACTTTTAGTCCTGACTGGCCTGAATTTGCTATGTAGACCAGGCTGGCTTCCAACTCACAGAAATCTGCCTGTTTCTGCCTCCTGAGTGCTAGAATTAAAGCTGTGTGCTACCATGCCTGGCTTTAAAAAAAGATTTTTTCATTATAAAAAATTCATCAAGGGGGCTGGAGAGATGGCTCAGAGGTTAAGAACACTGACTGTTCTTGTAGAAGACCCGGGTTCAGATCCCAGCACCCACATGGCAGCTAACAACTGTCCGTAACTCCAGTTCCAGGGGATCTGACAGCCTCTTCAGTCCTCCACTGGCATTGTGCGACATGGGTGCACTTACTTACATGCAGGCATAACACTTAAACACATAAAACAAAAATGATAATTAATAAAATATTAAAAAAAAATTCATCAAGCGCATTTCACGTAAAGTAGCAATAGACGGGGCTGGAGAGAGAGTGCAGCAGTTAACACTGGTTGTTCTTGCAGAAGACCCAGCTTCGAATCCCAGCACCCACATGGCAGCTAACAACTGTCCATAACTCCAGTTCCAGGGGATCCAACAGTCTCTTCTGTCCTCTGTGGGCATTGCACGACATGGGTGCACTTACCTACATGCAGGCAATACACGCATACACATAAAAATAATAAAATATTTTTTAAAAAATAGCAATAGACAAGAGAATAAATTACTTATGGTTTTCTTCCCACCAATATTAATATTTTGTAAAACTTTTGGCAAAGCTATTTCAAACCTATGTGACATGAAATGAATATGTTTCAATGCCCTGTTCTCTCTTAACTCCAGCCCTTTCCAGATTGTTACGTGCTATCAAGGGCCACATACGTTCCATTCACTGTGCACCACAGTAAAAGAAAAATAAACGTAGATGTGACATTGGCCAACTATACATTGTAGGCATTTAAAATGCTTCTGTTTTCAGTAGTGTTTGAATAGTGCCACTAAGTTTCTGAGTGCATGTCTTGAACTGCATTCCTTCTTAAAAAATTTTTTATGTGTATTTGTGTGTGTCTGAATGTATGTAAATGACCCATGTTTATGCAGTGCCTGGGGAGACCAAAAGAGGGCATTGGATTCCCCCTGCCCCCCCACCCCAACTGGAGTTACAGGGAGTTGTGAGCTGCCAGGTGGGTGCTAGGAATCAAACTTGCAAGAATAGTAAGTGTTCTTAGCCAGGCGTGGTGGCGCACGCCTTTAATCCCAGCATTCTGGAGGCAGAGGTAGGTGGATCTCTGAGTTCAAGGCCAGCTTGGTCTGCATAGTGAGTTCGGCCAGCTGGGGCTACAGGGAGACCCCATCTCAAAAAGATTAAAAAAAAAAAAGAGAAAGCATGAAGCCAAATTTAGGCAAATAGGTACATAAAAGATCTCTTCCTCCTATGATATATTTTTATATAAAATATATGTAATATATGCAATATATAATATAAATATATCCTACACAGGAAGTTTATTATAGCCTCTGTACACTTGCTCTCTTATCTATTTCGTGTGTTAAAACGTGCTCGCCAAGCCACACATGGTAGCACAAACCTTTAATCCCAACACTCTGGAGGCAGAAGCAAGTGGATTTCTGAGTTCAAGGCCAGCTTGGTCTGCATAGTGAGTTCCAGGACAGCTGGGGCTACAGGGAGACCCTGTCTCAAAAAGAAAAAAAGAAAGTGTTCTTAACCACGGAGCCATCTCTCTAGCCCCTAAACTGGGTTCTTTGGAAGGAATTACCTTAGATGGAGTCATGCTTTAAATTTAAAAGATATTTTCATGCTTTTCAAGGGTTGTACCAACTTCCAGTGCTACTGAATCTGTTGTATGCATGTGTGTGAACACATGAGTTGTACCATATTTCCCAGCATTATCTATCTCAGAGAAAGAATTTTGACTAATGTAGCTGGGCCTGGTGCACAGGCCTGTAATCCCAATTACTAAGGAGGTTGAAGCAGAAAGATCCCAAATTCAAGACCTGCTGGGGCTATAGAATGAGTTCGATACCAGGCTGGGCAACTTGTAAGACCTTGTCTCAAATGAAACAAAACGCCAAACCAAACACACTGTAGCTCAGTGGTACAGTGCTTGCTTAGTATGACAGAGGACTTGGGTTCAACCCTGAGTAGTGGTGGAAAAAAATGGACTAATTTAATATAGGGCCAATTACCTCACTATATCTTCCTCTTCTTTTTCCAGCTTCTTTTTCTAGGAACAAAACCCAAGCATTATGAGGAGAGTCAGGTTGAGGTCCAGAGCCAGAATACTCCTGAGTCCTAAGCAGACCCAGCTGAGACTTGAATTTAGGGGCCTTGGCCTGTCCCAGATGCCCAAGTTGGGGGCCCTGGCTCAAGTCCTGGTACTCAGTCTCTCTGAGATGCTGGGGCAGCATCCCATCTCATTCCTCTCCCCACCTTAGCTGCACTCATCTGCTTCTGGGGAGCCAGCCTTTTGACTTGTTTGACAGGGGTCTCCTCTATTGACACATCCTCATCATCATCCTCATCATCTTCCTCTTCTTCCTCCTCCTCCTCCTCTTCTTCCTCCTCTTCTTCCCAGGATAGGTCTGGAATCTCTGCAATGGTGTGGGAAGGGTGTAGAGGTAGGGCAAGGTGGGGGAAAACTTGACCGTTTGAGCTATGGGGTTCATGTCTATTTACCTTTTTACTCCAAGTGTGGCCTGAGGGAGCCCTGGGGTTGAGAATGTTTGCCTACCTTCTGTCTGTAAAAGGCCATTATCTTTTCTGTCCTTTTCCCCAAAGAAGGGGCTGGGGTAAGGCAGGGGATGGAAAAGGTCCATGGAGGCTGGGGGAGGTAGGAAGAGGCAGAGCAGGAGGCAGATGTGTATTGGGAACTGGCAGAGATGAGGCTTAAGACAGGCAAGCAGGGGAGGAGAAGGGAGAGGATAAAGATGATGGGGGTCATACTGAGGCTTGTCCCTCAGAGGTTCCTATTTAGAGATATGGTCCCCAGTGTTGTGTGCTGAGGTGGAGGGAACCTCTAAGAGGTGAGGCCTAATGGAAGGTGGCTGGGTCTGTGGGCTCTGCCCACACGGGAAGATTAGTGCTAACTTGGAGTTCAGAGTCTGTGGAACTGGATTGCTCCATAGAATGGGTTGTTATGTAGTTCCACTTTCTCAGCCCATTCTCCAGCCTACTCTTTAAAAAATATATTATTTTTATTATATGTGAATGAGTATTACCTGCATGTATGTAAGTGCACCTGTATTATGGAATGCCCATGGAGGTCAGAAGAGAGCACTGGATTCGCTGGAACTGGAGTTACTGATGGTTAACTGCCATGTGAGTGCTGGGAATCGAACCCAGGTCCTCTGCA